GGTTTAGGGTTTTAGGGTTTAGAGCCCCTTCTTGTGCCCTCTTTACGTGCTGAGTCCACCTGCCACTCTGCAGGTCGCTGGACTGAGGTACTTGGAGGTTCATGGGTGGTTATAAGTAGGGTAACTATAACTATAGGTTTAGGGTTTAGGGTTTAGGGTTTAGGGTTATAAGTAGGGTAACTATAATTATAACCATATTAGGGGACTTATAACCCCACTTATAACTACCCATGAACCTCCAAGTACTGCTGCTCTCACACTTTCAAGACGGTGTTGGACGTGGATTCCCCTAAGGGTCCATGTACCCAAATAGTATATACATCGGCCCCAAAGTACCTATATAGGGACTACATCAAGGCCAAAGTATATACTATTTGGGTACATGGACCCTTAGGATTCTGTAAGCATATCGGAGACAAGCATGGTGCGATTGATAAATACCGGATCCTTATGAATGTGAGCCAGGAAAGAGAAAGAGTGGGAGACTGACTTCACACCTCTGCGACCAAAGGATAGAGTCAGATAGACCTCAGCTGTCCTCACTGCCCAGAGAGAGCAACGCCGAACCGGCCCCCACGAGAACGGACATGTCTGCGGCAAAGGTGAGGTTGACACCGGCATCCTCTTCTGCATGCGGAGGTTTGGCAACAGTTCCACTTCCTTTCGGTTGATTCCTACAGGAGAACAAATGTCAGCTTCCTTGAATCGTCCAAGAATCAAGCACCAGCCTGCCTCCGTTGCGAACGATGATGGGGGTAGCCACGAGGTAGTCACCGGCGGGCAACGTCTCATTTCCGGACTCCACGATCGCATAAACTATCGTCTGCACCCCGTTTCTGTCTTCGACTACTATCTGTGATCTTTGGCGAGATACAAACCTTAGTTACTTAGTTATCTCAAACACGCAATTAGCAGGAAGATGTTGACAAAGACGGTGAAAGTCTTAGACAAGGTCACAGCATGGAAAGCAGGGCCCCAACAAGGGCCGAGAAACTGCAGACTGTTGGCATCGTAAGGTTCACTGAGCCATGGCTCATAGATTGCGAGCTCGTTCGGATCGTCGATGACTGACTCGATGGCAAGCCCAGTACCATCCTCCTGGGCGGTGATGAACTCTCCCCAATAGTTCACACTGGCATTGATGATGCCTGGGCAGGGTGGTGAGTCTCAAACAAACGACTAGCTTTCTATGAATGTGCTCGAAGGCTCTGTGTACGTAAAGCAGCTGTGGCCGCTGTGTATTCTCAAACGTTCAGCATCCGCGCCTGAAGTCGCACCGCTGATCCTCAGCACCGGGCTGTCCCTGGACGTGTTCGCGAGAATCACATTCTCCCTCAGGGTTGTGTTCTCGCAGTTCAGAATGTAGATGACCTCAGAAACGGCTCTGCAAGATTTCAGTACCTTCAACCACCTAAAAGGCTACTCTCTGACACAGCAAGGAGCCAACAAAAACACACGGCCCGAAAGTTATCATAGAACCACCGCAGCAAGCTCGGGGCCCTGGTCAAGAAAAGCTTCCCATTATATTTTATTCTATTCTATATCATATTATGTTATATTATATATTACGTATAACAATATCGTATATATCTTAAAATTAAATCAGGCCCAGCTCAGCTCCTTAGGAGCTCAAGGCTCGGAGGTGGCCAAGCGGCCTCATTCTTCGAGACATGATTGAAAGTGTTGTTGACAATCTCGTGTGGCAAGTCCTTAGCGATTGCATCACCGAGCCTGAAACCTCCTGAAACCCTCTTCCTACCCGTACCCTCTGAACTGGATCCTCTCGCCACCACCGGGCCTCATTCCACTGGCACTCGAGATAAAGCTCCAGCAGGCTCCGCTCGTTAAGCAAGCGATTGCCCCGGAAGCTCACGAGTCCATCCCTGAGATTCCTGGAGATGATTTCTTGCACACAGCACATTGTCACTGCTCTTTTCTGGCACTCACAGGCCCAACCTAATGGAAAAAGTCAACGCCGATGCTGAAACAACTTCCAGATGCAGCCTCACGGCAGATGTTGATTCAGAAACTCGCTCGAGAAAGTGGTTGTCGCTGATAGTCACGCTTTGCAGGCTGCTTGAAGAACTGTCCACACGAAGCTGTTGGCGTCCCGTGTCCTGCCCTCCCCGCACTGTGTTGTTTGTGATCACATACGCAGAAGTCATACCGAAGGAGGTGTGTCGCAAATACAACCCGTAGCCGCGGAAGCGAGTGACGACATTTCCTCGCATCTCCGCGGAACCTTGATGAAACTCGACGATCAAGCCGTCATAGAACCCTTCGATGGAGTTGTTGGCAAGTAGCACATCGCCTGTGAAGCCATTCAATAGGACCGCATCGTTGAATCGTGTTGTGTAGCCTTCTGAGTTTGCAAAGCTCGAGTCTATCACCTGTAACGATGCATCACCACCCGTGAGGACCAGACCCTCAGCGAAGCAGTCCTGGAAAGATGAATCCGAGACCTGACATGTGGCTTTGATATCACATAGCGGTTTCCGAAAATAGGGGACCCTAATATAGTACCCTAAATAATAGGATCCCTATTATAAGGACCCCAAAATAAGGTACCCCTAATTTTCGGAAACTCCCACATGCTTCTTCTATTTGAATCATGACTCTCCTCGAAAACGCCCCAACATGCTTCCAAAGATTCATCGAGAAGCTGTTAGCGGTACCTGGAGATTGACGACACGCAAGCACGTGAACCTGGCTTTCCGCACCTGGCCATTTTCAACAGAGCACTGAAGACTCAGAATAAAGCTTCGGGAACACACCTGTATCCCATACCTTTGTTACGGACTCTACGGAAGTACGATATCGCTTGAGGACGGTTCATGCTTCTCTTTGGCAAAAGAGCCCCTGTGCCTCGATCTCGCGAACTTCACTTAGGCGGCACTGCCCGATGCACTCAATGCTGTTTTGAGAGTTGCTGCCCGCGTCGCTGATGCGCAGCCCACTCCTGAGAGCTGGCCAGGGCTTTTAAGGTTTAGGGTCTATAGGGTATAGGGTATAGGGTTTAGGGTTTATGGTTCAGGGTTTAGGGTTTAGGGTTTAGGGGCTTACGGGCTTCCGAGGGCTCGGGGAGCTCATCTGAGGCTCAAGGAGTAGTTCCGCTCCCCCGAGAGGAGGAGCTGCTGCCAGGGCTGCGATGGATCCGCCGCGACCAGGTGGATGGGCAAACCGCCGGAGGGCAGGATGAGGGATCCATCCACCTGTCCAGGCGATGGATGCGAAGGAAACGGTCTGGGTTCCGGACGGATGTTGAGCCCACTATGAATCGCTGTTTGGAGCGTTCTAGGCTCACGGCGGTGAGGATCCCCACAGTAACCCGTCATGAGCCTGTATTCCACGCTCTGATTGAATCCGAAGGGTGAGGTTCTCAGGAAGCTCCAGCGTCTCAGTGGGCTCAACATAGATGGATGTGTCGAGCTCTATCCTCGGTTCTTGGGAGCACAGCCTCATTTAAAAACAGCCTTTCTCGACGAGAGCACCTAGAGATTTCCTGACGGGCTCGTATAAGCATCCCTTCGAAAACGATGCCAGACAAAGCCCCAGCATCACCGTGTTGGGCTGGAAACTGGGCAGGGCCTGTCGATAGCGATCTGCTAGGAGCACCCTCCAGCGATTCATGCTCACCGAGAAAGCGTTCACTTTCGGGCCCGCGCCAAAAGTCGTCGTGCGAGCATCCAGGATGCTCCTTCCGCTCGCACTCCCCTCAAGAGGAGCCTCGAGCTCGAAGGCACTGTTGGGGTTGTCCAGCGTGTTGTTGAGAAGCGTCACATTGCTGTCGGCATCGATCACGCTTTGAAACGTGTTGTTCACCATGAGGTTCGATGCTACCAGGCAGCCCAGGCTGCGGATCCAAATGCCCCTGATCCCCTCGTTATTCTGCATCACATTCTCCACAAAGGACACTTCCCCGTAGGCCACCACCAGAGAGGAATCAGAAGATGCCTGCGCAAAGAGACCCTTCTGCCCTAGACCCACAGAGTAGGACGTGTCACCTGCAGCTAAAACCCCTAAACCCTAAACCCCTAAGACCCCGAAACCCCTAAACCCTAAACCCCTAAACCCCTAAACCCCTAAACCCCTAAACAAGCCATGGGCAGCCGCCTTCGCTCCTTCGAAGAGACACCGCGACACCTCCACACTGGATCCGAAGCGGTTGTCGGTATCAATAGGACGGAAGAAACGACCCTCTGCCCCTGGTGGCAGGCGAAAGGTGGAGCTCTCAATTCTCACCCTGCTTGTGGAAGACCATGCTCGGAAATAGTTTCCTGGGTTGTAGTTTGGGGCCCTGAAAAGTATTTATGAATAGGATAGTCTATAGTCTATAGAGACCCTAAGGGAAATTTTAACGTTTCCCAAATTGCCACCTAGTGTCTCATAGACTGCATGGAGCAATTGGAGACCCGGAAGTCCATGTCACCGTGGAGTTCGAATAGTGAGATGCCTGTCTCCATGCCGATGAAGGTGGTGTCGGCGACAGTCACGTTGCTGCCCGAGGTCTGGGAGGCATCGGCCAGGTAGAAGGCTTCACTGTTCTGAAAAAAGGGCTGGCAGCCTGCGAACCTCTTCTCGAACAACGACCCGGTCACGGTCACCTCGCCCTTCACGGAGCGCATGTAGAGGCGTGCTGCACCTAGGGACCAGAACCCTGGTTTCCGACAATTGCAAACGAGAAATCCCAAAACCCTAAACCCTAGGCCCCAGGGTTTGCCATGCCGGGCCTCGGCAGCCGGAGTCGAAGATGGAGTTCGAGACGTTGATACTGGCCGTTGAGGCGTCTCTCACTTCCACGCCGTTGCCTCTGGCTCTGGTCTGCGGGGTTTAGGCCCCTAAACCCTAAACCCTAAACCCTAAAATCTAGGGTCGTTATGAGTCGTTTCCGATTGGGCTTTCGGCAGGGGCACAATCAGAAGCTGAAGCTTCGCCAAGCAGCTGCTGTTGACAATCACTCCGTCAAAGACCATTGCGGTCACCATGGGGCCTAAGGCGAAGACTGCCTGTGACTGGGCATCCGTGATTATAGTTCCCGGCAGGAACTGCGGAGCACGATTGGCAATCCGCACGCCCACCGTCGCCCCCTCCACCACGCAATGCCGCAGGAACGATGGTGCCGTGTCTGAGATCTGAGCCTGTCTTACTCCCACAGCAGGAGACAATGCTCAGCAGCTTCTGAGTTTCGTGAATGAACTGACGGGACTACTACTCTATCTACGCGAGCCTCTGTTTAGGACCTATGTCTGCCCAGAAACACCTACAGTAGAGGGCCTAGGAAGCTCCAAACACTCCCGGCTCGGCGAGGGGCGGTGAACTCGATGCCCTGCCAGTAGGTGACCTGATCATGGGACTTAGTAAGGTTATAAGTCCCTTAATTGGGGTTATAAGTATAGTTACCCTAATTATAACCCTATTTACTAAGTCCCATGATGCTGTAAGCAGGTGACCTGATCGTCATAGCGGGTCAGGGCCACTGGAAAAGCTGCATCGCCTTCACACTGGAAGCTGCTCCTGGATCGTTGGCGGGCTTGCTTGACAAGCAGCTTCAAGATCCGCGGTACTACCTAAAGCCGATGCGGGATGTGGGATCTTTGTGGCATCTACCTTCAACATTATATGGGGGTTTCCGAAAATAGGGACCCTAATATAGCACCCTAAATACTAGGATCCCTATTATAAGGACCCCAAAATAAGGTACCCCTAATTTTCTGAAACTCCCAAAGGTTGGACATGGGCCAAGGCTCCCTGTGTCGAACGTCAAGCCGGCGCCCGAAAAAAAGCGCACCACGACGCCAGGCTGCACAATCCTTACTTGAAGGATCATGGGACTTAGTAAGTAGGGTTTAGGGTTTAGGGTTTAGGGTACTTCAGGGATCATGGGACTTAGTAAGTAGGGTTATAATTAGGGTAACTATACTTATAACCCCAATTAAGGGACTTATAACCTGACTTACTAACTCCCATGATCCTCCAAGTAATGCAGGGAAAGATCCTTCTCCCTCCTGAACATCCACGATCATGACCCTGAACCATCAGCTTAAGCCACAAACTTAAACCCCAAACCTTGCAAACCATGAAAACTTGGAAAAAGTTCCTGAGCAAGGACGCAGCTTCAATGTGGCTCTGAAGGTGACCTGGCATGCTCTTGGGATCAAGCACAATGTAGCCCTCAACTCCCGGAGTGTTACAGTGTTCTGTAGATTTTAGAGATACTGTATGGGCTTAAGCCTTAGGTCATTGGTCGAGTGTCACGGGTTTGGGATTGTACGCATGAGTTTCAATCATTTGAAGCCCGGTGACGCTTTGCTCCACGATGTAGGGGGACGCTTCGAACGTCCATAGCGTCAGCGTCTCGATGAGGCTGCCTAAACCGGTGCTGGAATGAACTTTCGGCTTCGGGACTTCGGGGCATAGCTGCTTTAACTTGAAACGAAATCTTCCTTAAGCAGCGAAGACTCTGTTGACCACCGTTTGCGCTATGCACTGCCTTGCAGGGCTGGCGACGGGCGGGGGCAGGAGACTCTCGCTTTGGTTTTGGGGAAAGGTTTAGGGTTGCCCGGGCCTCAGCAACAGAAGTCCCAGCAGCTTCGAGCACATGCTAAACTCTCCCGACGCGCCTAAATCGATGCGTCGGGATCCAAACAAGTCTTGAACCGCGAGCAAGCAAAATGAGCCCCTAGCATCCAACTTCGCAGTGGGACGATGTGAGCTTCGGTTTTCCATGACACCCCCCCCCATTTCAAACCCTAAACCCTCGATACCCTCGACCCTGAACCCTAAGCTCTAAACCCTAAACCCTAAACCCTGAAACCCTAAACCCTAACCCCCATGCGGCAAAGCTCCTTTTCTTGTGAGGGATTTTCGCACTCTGCGACACTTTTACGGAAGGCCGGGTCAGCATGCCAGGCCTGGCGCAAGAAGGGCCAACATGGGTTTAGGGTTTAGGGTTCAGGGTTTAGGGTTTAGGGTTCAGGGTTTAGGGCTTTTGGGGTTTAGGGTTTTTAGGGTTTAGGGTTTAGGGCTTAGGGTTATAGCTCCATTTCGGGAGTTTTAAAGGAATACTGTGGGTAGTTCTCTAAATTAGGATCCCTTTCAGGGTCCTGTTTATAAGGGTGCCGTACTATATTGGGGACCTAAACAGGGACCCTAATTTAGAGAACTACCCATGTGGGGCTGGATGATCCAGGGGCGGAGTCCTGTTGATGATGGACGCCTCGTTGCCTCACGGCCCAGCAAACTGGCACAACGAGTCATCCATGCTACAACTTGTGCGCCACAGTGCCATGATCGGTTCTGCGGTCCAGAGCTAATTCTTCGTGGTGAATCATGCATGTAGGAACTTATAGGGAGATTACATGCTACCGCGGTGAGATCACATCATTATTGTCTCCGTGCAACGCACCACCGGTCCCTGAAGCGTGCGCCTGGGGGCTATATACAAAACGACTACTGTCCTGAAACTCGAATTGCTCCAGCACTTTGGGGAAGTCATTGCAGGATCTTGCTAGCGCTACAAGCACTCTCGAGTTGTAATGACAAGACAACTGAGTTGCCAACCAGAGCGTCCTGTTCTGGATGCAAATCAGCCCCACGCATCACCAGAACATGCCGATTGAAAGCCCATGAAATAACATCCCTGAAGCTCCCCATTCAAAACCCACACCCAACACCAACTCCTCCAAATGTTCCTCACGCAGCGCCTCGAGACGAATCTTAATTTGCGGCAGGTTGTTCCTCCGGAGACGAGGAGCTTTAGGATTCGGAGGGGGCAAAGATGTCAATTTCTGCAAGCCCCTCTTGGCACCAACTCTTGCAGCCATGCACAATCTCCCAAAGCATGCCGCGGAGTCCTGCGTCGGGGCTAAACTTGACTGGGTTCCTTCCGCCTTCAGGCGGGCTGCCTCCGACTTGGCCAGATCCTGAAAGAATGGAGATCGAGTAGAGTGCTTGGCAATTAGCTGAGGGCGGTTTGGTGGAGTTGCTAGGTGTTCTAGTAGGATGGGTGGTTGCGTGGATTTTCCTTGCACAACGTTCCTCACCAGTTTCTTAACAGGCGGACGGTTTTTCAACATCGCTCACGATTCCTCACCTTTTCCACTATACACATTTGACATTCAAGGTCTTGCGCCACTGAACCTCGGTTCGACTCTGGTTTGGCTTGAAGACTAAGCCCATGAACCCTTGCCGAACCAACCCTAAACCCTAAACCCTACCCCATGACCCTGCGACTTCGAGCCTCGGAGAGCCGATAGTGTGGATGTGCACAGCTGCCAGGCCCCGAACTCTTGGATTTCAAGCTGTGGTCAAGTCCCAATTTGGGTGGTTGTCAAAATTATGGTCCCTTTTTGGGTCCATAATATAGTACGGCACCTATTATTTAGGGTACCCAAAAAAGGACCATAATTTTGACAACTGCCCATTTGGGGGTTGAGGCTTGTTGGGCTTACTTACGGCTTCAGCTCGGCATCGTTGTTCGGTGTCTGGGTGTGCAGCACAGGGCTAGGCAGCGGTAACGGTGGCTGAAACCCACAAAGCCTCTTCGCGAAGTTAACAAAACTCCATAATATTCCCAAGCAGCCCGACAAGGACAGCCGGCCGCCCAAACCTAGCCTAGCGGAACCTGCTTTGAGCCATCTTGCAACAAGGCCCTCTAAAACTTTGAAGTTTGAATGCTACGGGGCACTCGTAGCCTCAAACAACATGCGCAGTCGGTCCTCCTTCAGCTTCTGAATCTCCTGGTCCTTCAAGTTCTCCTGGTAAAGTTACGGCAGGGCAGCGCCCTGACCCTCGCTTTGTGTCTGGATTATGAGCGGGTTATGCGAGCTACATAGTCTGAACCCCCTACATCCCCCTAACAGGATCCTTACGCAACCTTTCTGTAACCCCCACGTAAGGAGCTTAGACTATGTAGCTCATACAGGGATGGCTTTAATGAACTACCATACATCAGGCGGGTTTGGAGTTCATCCCGAATTGAGGCCACCGGGCAATGTCTTCTGCAATAGTCTCCCAGCCAGCTGCTTTTAGGAGGTTCAGGGTTCAGGATCTGGGAGTCTAGGGTTTAGGGTTCAGGGTTCACGGTTCAGGTTTAGGGTTTAAGGTTCAGGGTTCAGGGTTCAGGGTTTAGTAATCTGGGGTAACTATTGGCAAAATGAGCAATGGCTCTGAAGGCCTCAAAAACATCAAGAAGCAGCAGGCCCAACCACCTCTCAACGTGCAACTGTAAGCCTTTTCGCGCAATGAAGTCCTTGTCCTTGTGATGTTTGTCACTGTTCCCTTAGTTGCACATCTCATGCGCACTTCGAGTTTGCACAGTCATGCAACCCCACACGCAGCGGTTGTGAACCTGACACCTTGTCCTCCGAATGGCTGAACTCTTAACCAATGCAAACTACACCTTTGATCGCTTAATTGATCAACCCTGAACCTGGCCGACTCACACCATGTACAGACATGCTTCCGTGGTTGTTTTCCGACATCTGCTTTCTCCTGGGGAGCCGTCATCAACGGGAGGCGGGGCAATACACATACACACCCCAATATACTGTAATCACAATCCCTGTCCATGGGACTCCCAAATCCGTGCCCCTAATGCCTGGAAAAGTGTCTATGTCTCCTTCAATCTTATTAACTAGACATGAAGGAATCCCCAAACAATGACCCCAACAGTACACTAGTTGTCACTGCCTCTGCCAGAGGTAAGCAAATGTTTTGCCGGCCTCCTCCTACCTTCTAGCTTGTCGTCGTCATCGCCATCTTTGCTTCGAATCACCTTGGACTTGGATTTGTGAGCCTGTTACGAAAAAAAACCCTAAACCCCAAACCCTAAACCCCAAACCCTAAACCCCAAACCCTAAACCCCAAACCCTAAACCCCAAACCCTAAACCCTAAACCCCAAACCCGGAGACCCTAAACCCGGAGACCCCCCCCCCCCATTTTTGGGGAGCCAGCGGCTCTGGGAGCTGAACCCGGAGATCCGTAGCTCCTCTGTAGCTCATCTTCCCCCTCTTCGGTGCATTCTAGCACCTTGTGGGAGTCTCCGAAAATAGGGTTTAGGGTTTAGGGTTTAGGGTTTAGGGTTTAGGGTCTTACATCTCCAAAAATAAGGGGTACCTTATTTTGGGGGTCCTTATTATAAGGATCCTAGTATTTGGTGTACTATATTTGGGCCTATTTTCGGAACTCCCCTTGTGAGGCCCCCGATGTCTTACCGGGTAATTGGGGTTTAGGGGTTTAGGGTTTAGGGTTTAGGGTCTTACCGGGTAATTGGGGTTTAGGGGCTTAGGGCTAGGATTATAGTTATCTATTGTTATGCAAGGATTAGGGGGAGCTCAAAGGAGAAACTGCAATCTGGAGAGCGCCCCACCTCCTCCACAAACTTCTGAAAAAGGGCTGCGCGCATACTCTCCGTCTCTGTGAGGTACTCAGGCAAACACTCCACGAAAGGCGTCTGAAGCACAGAGCTTGCCGGATCCTCTCCGTCTTCATCTGCTCGATCCTCTGTTCTTGCATGTATTTCAGATCCCTCCGCCGGATTCCCTGTTCCTGCAGGTGCTTGGGGTTGGCGTGGTTTCTTCGTGCTTTCACGCTTCTTCTTCGAGAACTTCTTCCAGAATTCCTCGGCAGCCTTTTTGCTGTCTTCGAAGTCACTGTCGTAGCGGTAGTCTTCGAACTCCCCTGAAACAGACCAGTATGCCCAACAGACTTTTCGCAGCAGGCCTGAGTAAAACAGGAGCGCCTCTCCACGCCCTTGCGGTGATAGCCGGCAAAGCGTGCTGAATAACGAAAATAGATTGCTATCAGCTTGATGGGTTCTTGGAAGTGCTTGCCAAAGCTGTCCGATATACTGATGCAGATTGGTGTCAAGGCAACGCAAATACACTCCACCCACTTCCATCCAACACTCCTGCGCTGCTCTTTGATGCCCATCGTATGCAGCACATGTGCTTTCTTAATGGTGTTTTCGAAGAAGGATTGCTGGCTAGGGGTCAATCCCCGCAAGGCTTCTTCAAACGTCGAGACTTGGGTGTCGCCGGCTGACCAACAGCCCAGGCATGTCCCGCGGGCGGCGCTCTTCGAGGCACTTCTGTCGTGTAGACTCGGCAATTGGGCATCGGCGATGCTGTGCTGAGAAATGGATCCCGCATGTTTTTGACGGCAATCGCCGCGGAAATCTCAATGCAGCCATAAGTCCTTGGCCCAGGTGGAGTATGATCACATGTGCGGAATCACCAAACACTGAAACAAACATCCTACCACCAGCAACAACAGCAACAACGTCAACGTGTCACGCGCGTTCGTACTGCAACGCTGATGGGGCGACATGCTGAAAAAGTGGCTTGAGCCATCTTGAGAAGAGGGTTTTGGGCATGGATGCTTTAGGGAGCATGGGTGCTCTTGTAGGGGTGGATTCTCATGGGCTTGACCGTGCCCTGCATGTCTAATCACCGCAATACGCCGGATGACAATGCTATGCAATGACGATGAAAACCATGTACGACGTATACTGTCAGAAGGTCGCAAGCTGCAATGCAGGTACACCAAACTTGATCAGACCTGGCTTCCCTCTCTGATGCACAGCTTCGTTGGGTACGGTAGCCTAAGAGACCCGAACCCCGCTGGAAAAAACGCAACGCACTCCGAATACTCCAAGATTAGACATGAGCGTCAAGTTCTGCCCGCAGAAAGACTACCCGCAGTTTTATCTGTCAGGGTGCAACAACAGCAACATCGCCAGGACCAGTACCAGCATCAGCAGGAGCAGCAGGAGCAGCAGCAGCAGCAGCAGCAGCAGCAGCAGCAGCAGCAACAGCAATCAACAACAAACAACAAGCTGCAGAAGACGAGCAGCAAACAGCAAGCAAGCACACAGCAAGCAGCAAACAGCAAGCGGCAAACAGCAGGCAGCAAAAAGCAAGCAGCAAGGCAGCAGCAGCAGAAACAGTCACAGCAACCGCAACCCACCCCCAACCCCAACTGCAACCACCACCACCACCACCACAACCACGACCACCAGGCAACAAATGCGTCGCCCAGAGGCATGCAAACGGCTTACTTCGCATGAAACCACCGAGAGTCACTACATAGACAACCCCAGTTGTGGCCATCACCAGGGCCACACGCAAATAATCCTGATTCTGCCATGGCCACTTCCGGTTCCTTGTGTCCTTCGCTGCCGAAATCTTCAAAATCGAAAGTAATCCACATACACTGGTAGGGTTTAGGGTTTAGGGTTTAGGGTTTAGGGTTTACGTAACTCCTACTGGCCCAGGTTCACTTCGCACAGCTCATTTCGCCAAAATTGTTGGGGAATGGGCTGCATGAGGAGTTGTCCTTTGTCTCAACCCAGAACCACGACCTCTTCTTCTGCGATTAAAGCATAAACCTGATCAGGTTGGGGGTCCCTCCATAATTTGGGATACGATGTATGAATATACTCCTTGATACAGGGATAATCAGCTTTCGTGACAATCATTCCCACTTTCTGCCCTCATGGCAATCGGGGTCCTCGGCTTGCGAAGCTGTTGTGACCTGTGCAGCCTGACCAGTCCCCACATGTGGTAGAATATGTGCTAGAGTTTTAAAGGGTTTTCCAAGGTCTATTCTAGGGCTTTAAGGGGTTTTCCAACTTGGAGGGATGCCACTTTGGGGGCCATGGGGTCCCTGGCTGCTCAGATTGTCGTCACTCTGTCATAGTGGTACTGTGGAACAGCGCAACATTGGACCAGCGCGCGCAATCGCAAGGCTTGACTACACTGTCTACACACCAGATGCCTCAGTCTGCGTCGATGCTGTAGTTGATGGAGTTTCAATGAACTCCGTCTCTTCCTGGGCTAGGTGCAGACTCAGCGGCCCTCCAAGTCTTCTGGCTTTCTTTCGGGATTATGTATACAGGGGCTATGGACCACCATAAGCTGAACACGTTCCTGAATCAACCCCCCCTTGGCGGCTGTGGTCTTGGGGGGGTCTGCTCCTAAGCTGTCCCTGGGATCGGGATCCTCATGGTCATGTGGACGCAGTGAGATGGCGAGGTCGAGCTGGTACAGGACCACAGCCCTTGGTTCACAGCGACAGCAGGGGATTGCGGAGGAGGGGTTTCCTTTCATGAGTGCAAGCTGCTGCTGCTGTATATACCTTCTTGGATGTGAGTGAAACACCATCATGACGCTCTGGTTTTTGATTGGGCTATTGTTGCGTCCCTGACCCCATTCTGATGTTTGCAGTGCTTCCCGAGCCACACATTCAAGGCTTCTTGAATTTAGGATTCCAAGCCTAGGATTGGCAAGGTCGGTGCATAGTAGAGTCCCTTTGTGTGTCATCTCATGACAATCCCCTATGATAGGTTTTGGGATCAGCTTTCAAGCTACTGTGGGGAAACCAGTGACCTTTGGCCGAGAATCAAAAAGCCATGTAGGTGAACCTGCCGAATCATGGACAGGAGATGGTGCGGCCAAGCTATTGCTAATCTCCGTCCCCGACGAAGCAGAACGGGCGCGTGTTCGCCGAAGGCTTCTCTTTGGAAGCGGCCCGCTACGTACGAAGGACCTGAATCTAGTTGCCTGAGCCAAGCATCCTGCAGCCACTCTGGAAGTTCATGATCCCAATACGTTTACCCATGTGCAACCTAACCGTGACCCACTGCATGCGGCTTCCTGAAATGCTCACCGCATATTGCAGTGGACAATGCTGGACGGTTGGGTAGCGATTGAAAGCAATTATCTAGTAGGGTCCAGACGGCAAGACTGCTATGCAAAACACCCCAGCACCCACCGGCCGAGACTCCTCCAACCACTTCAAGCGCCTGTATGCTGTTGGCTGCACTCTGCAACGATTAAGTATTCGAGGCCATCAGCCGAGAACTCGACGGCGAGCAGCGCCCAGAAACCAAACAGTGTGCCATCGGAAGATTTCGGCCGCTACGATAGCTGTGCCAGGATGGATGCCCCGCGGTAGAGTTTCGAACAGTTCCTCATGGGGCCTTAAACACAGACAGGCCGGACAAATCGGCTTTCACAACATGTACCAATAGCACTGACCGCATGCAAAAACTTAGAGCCGTGAAAGCAAGACTACACTTCACAAGAGTACTCGTTTCAACTCTGGCTAATGGCTGTCCAGCCCGCTACTTCGGGTTCAGCTTTGCTCGTCTACGATGACATAACATCGTCTTCTCAGTCTCCTTTTTCCCTCTGCTGCTGCACACGCTGCCGGGGAGGTCAAGACGCACTCTACTTGTAAGAGCCGAGATGCTTCGACGCTTCACAGACTTCTGCCTGGCAGGAATGACGGGATGACCCCTACAAAACCCACCGACCCAGAGAGGGGATCAAAGAGGATGAAGCTCCAAAGCGCCGGAGGCCGGATCGACAGCCACGGTCCCGCACGCCCCTGAAACCCTTGGGGAACTCCGCAAGATCAAGGGAAGCTCAGAGCTGAGAGTCCTGCGCAAGCTCCTGCTGCCGAAACCGACTCCATCTCCACGGTTTAGGGTTTAGGGTTTAGGGTTTAGGGTTTAGGGTTTAGGGTTTAGGGTTTAGGGTTTAGGGTTTAGGGTTTAGGGTTTAGGGTTTAGGGACACACCACCACACTGGTGGAAGTGACCACCGGGCATGGGTCCCAGCCGCAAGAGCAAGCCGCGAAGCGAAGCTGCGCCTACGATCCTCGCGATCAACTCAGATTAGTTCTCAGACAAAACCCAGGGCAGCTCTTTTGATCAGAAAGGCAGCAGAGAGAGTGAGCACAGGCAGCGACCCTCGATCCGGGGAAGCACTCGAGGCGCAGCCCAGTCGAGAAGGCAAACCTTACATTCCTGGGCCGATAAGTGCAGGAGTGCTTCGGGTTTAGTGTTTCGGGATTAGGGCTTGAGGCATAGAGTCGCTTAGAGTGTGCGGCCGAGGTCGGCATCAGGAGCCTCCCTGGAGCTGGAGCTGCTCGTCCTCTCCCGGAGAAGAGGAAACGCCTCTGAACGTGCACCCAAGCCTCCTAAAATGACGGTGCCGAGTTCTTGAGATGCTTACGTCTTGGTTGCAACCAGCCCTAAACCCTAAACCCTAAACCTCAACCCTAACCACCTGCCTTACGGCCTGGCGGTTTGGGAAAATGGCCTCGTCCCAAGAGCTGATCCTACTTCCTGCGTTCGCAATCCTATGGCATTCATTTGCGAAACGCCCAGGGCACTTTGCAGAGAGCTGTCAGCCAAGGTTGGAGTAAAAGTCCTGTAAAGGGGTCCTCCTCTGAAGCATGCCACACTCTGAGATCGGGATATTGGGGCACTCGCCGGTTTCAGAAAATCGCAGCAGGAAGATCGCTGATCTTCACTAGCTTGGGGCTTAGGGTCTAGGGTTTAGGGCAACCCAAACCTGCCACCGGACCCAGTTTGGGCCATCTGCAACATCTTGGGCAAGCGCGGCTGAGAAGACAGGGAGAGTGACCATGCAGCCTTGGCAGAGCAAAGAGCGCCTGACGCTTTTCCTCCGGAACCCTCAAAAACCGGAATGCTTTACCGTTTGTAGGTTGCTTACTTACACCGCCAAAACTTTATGGCTGGAACCCACCCAGAACAGCCAGCAAGCGTGTGGCTTCGAGCATTGGGCTCAGGATGTTGCCCCAAGATGTCCTCAGGCACTTGGAAGCTGCCGCCTTGAGCTTCGAGCCTCGATACGTGCTGCAATGAAGAGACACAGCTCCGGAATGAAGGTGCAGCTAAGGCCTTCGCGAGGACCTTCCAATCTTTGAGGTCTGAAGCACTACTGGCTTCGCCGAGGCCTGCCTAGCGCTCTTCTAGCACTGGCTCTGGGTCTGAACGCGAGACCCACAGCTTAAACCTCCAAGTGTACTAAAGGTCCTGCGGGCAATCTGAGATGAAGCCGAGACGGCCTAGACCCTCTTTGCCAGATG